GAAATTATGCCCCAATGACTTCATTTTTCAGGTGAGGCCCTGGGATGGGGGGCTTGGTCAAGGCCAAGGTGATTAAGGCTAACTGAGGAAGACCACGGTTTCCTGCCTCCCAGACCATGTAGGGGCAAGGATCCAGCAGTGTTGCAATTAGGTGATTGATGATTGAATTCCTGATGAAAACAAGGGTTCTCACTGTTCCTTCAGTAATCTAGTTTTATTCATATTGCCATATAATATACAACAATAAATTAATTTCAGGTGTGCAGTATAATGTGCCATCTGTATACAACACAAAATGATCACTATCTTACGTCTATTTCCCATCTAGGCAATTTTTCAAATTTGCAATACTGGATTATTGCCCAGGACCTGCTGTCTAGCCTACATCCTTGTGACTTAGTTATTTTACAACTGGACATTTGTACATCTTGATCCCCTCCATCCATTCCCCCAGTTCAGTTGTCACCCCTTAAACAATTCAGTTTTAAAGTTGCAATTATAATGCTGCTCACAGAGCCACTGAAATACCCTTTGGCCAGGTCCTCTGCATGCGAGCAGCAGTGACCAGCATGCAGGGCAGACAAGCATGCGCATCCATACCTGCTTCTGTGCGTGCCTTCGTGGGGATGCCCAGCGGCTTGCTTGCTGTCCATGCAAATGAAGCAAAGCTCTGCGCCTTTGGTCCCTGCGGGCCTCCTTCCTCTGCTCACACAGTTAGGCTGGGGCAGACAGCTGAACGCTAGCTCTTCCAGAAGGTCTGTGAGCATGTCCCTCACCCTTTAATTCACACCATCATTCTACTCATTTACTCCTGTTATTACCCCCATTTCAAAGACAGGGAAACTACATTGTGTCAAAGTTGTCGGGCCTTGAGTACAGAGCTGGTATCGAACCTCAGTCTTCTTAATTTGAGCTCAAACGCTGACCATCAAGGAGTCAATCCCAGAACATGAACCACAATCTTTTCGTTCAGAAGCTGCCACTCCACCCCGGGTCTGGGCTTCAGTATGTAATTGCCAAGCCCTCTTCATCCATAGCTGGGGCCCTCACTGCCTGTTGGGCTTCACCTCCATGATGACCCCTCACACCCTGAGTCTGGTTGGTAGTGAGGGAGCTGTTCTCCTAGAGAAGAGCCCCTGCCCTGGGGGGAGCCAATCTCCTCTTCGGCCCACTGGTGAGGACGTCAACACACCCACCGGCCAATGCTACCCACATATAGAGGCCTTTCCTTACTAGGACTGCTTGGAGCTCACAAGGACTAGGTGCTTTGCAGAAATAGCCTTTGGTAGCTTAGCTGTAATACACTAAGTAAAATAAGCCTCCAGTTTCTGCCCTCTGGGAATTCAACTCAACAATTAATTTGGAGACGTTTCCCTCTCTCCCTTCTCTGTCCCTCGCGTTCAACTCTAAATATAATCACCAGCACTCTGGTTGTATTTTGACAGAACTGGTTTAGCACATTCTCCAAAAGCATGAAGGTTATTCTCTTTAATCATTACATGGTTGTTCTTAACAGAAGACAGATATTGCACTGAATACTTTTGTGACCACAAGGAAACAAGATCTTTCAACAACAGATTGACAGACTTGCTAAAAATAGTTCCTTTAGAGCCGTGGGCTTAGGGTCCCCCCTGAGGACCCCTTGGCAACTGGATATGATGTACCTTTAAAAGTTTTCCCTAATGAGTCTGTGATTCAAACTGTAAAAATGCAAAGCCAATCATTCCTGGTAGGTTATTGATAGGTTATTTTGAGAGGATGGACTTCCAGAACACCTTTCTTTCATTCCTTCTTTCACGACCTTTTGTTGAGTCTGTCCCTATGTTAGGAGCTGAAGGGACACACATACACTCATGCATACACACATTCTCATATAAACACAATTTTTTTTCAGGAACTCACTGTTCAGTGAGGAAAACAGACCAATATCTGACACTACAGTGTAACAAGCATGTCAGTAAGCAAGTTCCTACAGGAGCACAGAGGAGGAACACAGAGATGGATAGGGTGGACAGGTGGACAGATGGATGGACAGATGGATGGACGGAAGGACGGAAGGACAGACGGACAGATGGATGGACGGACAGATGGCTAGATGGCTGGATGGCTGGATGGACAGATGGAAAGATGGATGGAAAGATGGAAGGACAGATGGATGGATGGATGGACGGATGGACGGACAGACGGACGGACGGACGGACGGACGGACGAACGGACGGACAGATGGATGGATAGATGGATGGATGGATTGAGTCATTGGGGGAAGATGGAGGAGGAATTACTGAATCCAGAGTGTGAAGAGGTAGGGTTGATGCAAACAGCATCAGTTGCTATCAGTATAGCTTACCTGAGGTATGATCTGGCAGGAAAAGTGTTTAGCTAGGAATCAGAAGGGCTTTTCAGGCTATAGGAAAAACCCACTAGTGGAACCAAGGAGAGAGCATGTAGCATGTTTGGGGAATCATTTGATTTTTCCAAAATGGGGATGAGTTGGGGAAGACTGGACATAGAGCTAGGCCTCAGGACATGGGGGGCCTGGGGGAGAGTTTGATTTTGTCCAGAAGATGACTAGCAGCCATGGAAAGCTGGTCAAGTAGACAGCCTGTAATTCAGAAAGATGCTGGTGGTGCTGATTTTGCAGGAAGTTCAGCATTCCAAGTTGACTGCAGTGATTCCAAGAGAAGGGGATAGGTTTTATCATTTAACAAGTTTAATTAAGGGGCTGTTAACTTACAGATGAGTGACAGAAGGAGGGGGAGAAGCACAGCAGTGCAGGGATGTTTCTACTGCCTGGTGCATGCGCACCAGGTGACAGAACAGAATAGCAAAAGGTGGGACTATGACCCCAGCATGTCTCCATAACCAGAAGGCTACCAACACAGCCTTCAGCCATATCACTCCTATCTTTGCTACCAAGTGACCAACTGAAAAAAACAGACACTCCTTGAATACCTATCTTGTAATATATGGGACTACACACATTAAGCTCAACACCTGCCCCAAACCCTTTGGACTAATAATCCTCACGTTGTGCTGGTAAGGGCATGGATGCTTCTAGAGCAGAAGTTATTTGCACAAGATCGCCCAGTCAACCTGGAATTTAAATCCAAATTTAGAGGGGCCCCAACATGTTTAGAAAAGTACATGGAAATAAAAATGACTGTGACGCCAACGTGTGTTTCACTTTTGCTGACTGAGGTAACATTTGTGTGTTTTTATAAGGAAAAGGCCCACGGTGCTCATCACATCTCAGAGGCAGCCTTGACCCTGGAAGCGTGAGGACCATGCGGGGACGGCGCCCACTGGGAGCCTGATGGTGCCTCTCTGGGAATGCAGCTCCGGGACCCTGCCCCCTGGCCGCGCCTCACCCTTTCCTCCTGCAGAGAGCCCCGAGCGGACCACTAGGGGAATGTGGCCCGAGCTGGATCTTCTGTAGTGGAGGTAGCGGATGGAGGGAAAGCCCTAGACTGGGCAGGAGAACAGAGAACTGCATTGCTTCCATTTTCTCCCCAGGGACAGGCTAGCCTCACCAGAAACTGGGAAGGAGGCAAAAGTTGGACATCAACCTTCCCAGTGTGGCCACATCATCACCTTGTCCCAGACACCTTCTAATTTTTTTTTTAAGATATTGTTTATTTATTTATTTGTGCATAAAGAGCTGGGGTACAGGCCAGAGGTGCAGGGGCAGCAAGGACTCATCAGAAACAGAGTGGGGTGCAGAACAGGCAGAACGACCAAGTACACTGCTGAGGGGAGCAGCGGGTGAGACTGGAGAGTCCTGCACACCACATGGGTCATCTCCAGACCGGGGATGGAACTCACAGTGAAGGGGCCACGGCTTGACTTAGCTTTGCAGTGCAGCGCTCCCACCGCTGCACCACCAGGGAGGGCTCAACACCCTTAACTTGTGCAGCGGTCACCCACAGTGAGCCTAGTCCCTCTGCTCTAGCTCTGCTCTCCAACAGGCCAGGCCACCTGTCTGTGCCTGTGTGCACAAGGCATCTACCCGACTAGCCCAGGCTGTGCCCAGGGGCCACACAGCCAGACAGCCTCCTCCACGGTGCAGCACGTGCAGACACTGGGTCTTGGCCACCTTTCCCTTTTTTTTTTTTTTTTTAATTTAGCATGTAATGTAATGAAGACTCAAAAATGCCTGAGTTGTCGAGTACACTGTGACTGTTGTAAGGTTAGGTTTTGCTTCTTAAAGTGTCTGCTTCGGTCATCGGGCTAGGCATGTGTGATCACAATTTATAACTGTGCACCTGAGGCGTCCCTGATGGCCTAGAGGGTAAGCCTCAGCGCTGTCACTAAAAAGGCAGCAGACCTCTCTTACCTTGCTCGCTGCTCCCCTCAATAGTGTATTTCAATAAATCCACCTGCCTTGCTCCCCACTCTCTCTCTAGTGAGCTCTCAGCTTCTGCACCTCTAGTCTCTAAATAATATTGTGCATCTCAATTAGGAGATGAATTCAGAATAGTCCATAGAACCGCAACAATGGCTTTGAAGACCCTCAAAGTCCAGGGAGAAGGGCTTGCAGAGCATGGAGGAGAGAGGACCCAGAGGTGAGTTAGTTCCAGCCACTACACATAATCTCTCTGGGCCCTTTCCTCCTTTGTGAAATGAACAAGATCCACCTATTTCAACGGACTGTATGCAGTTCAGGTGGAAAAACATTTGCTAAACATTGTACAGTGTTTGCTGACGACGTCCATCTTGAAATTCTGGTTTAGATGGAAATTCTGGTTTATGATGAGAAGTTCAGGAAAGAGAGAGATGCAAATCAGGTCTTTCTGGAGCCTTTGGGGGCCAGGGAGGTTACAGAACCCCCAAGACATCATGTGGTTTCCCCGCCAGCTACTCTGGGTAGCAACTGAGCCACAACACCCACCTGACGCCTCAGGAATCTTTCTATTGCAGTGATTTAAGCAACGCAGCTAAAGCAATTTCCAGTGTGTTTTGGTAAGCGTCATCAGCCCCCCAGGGTTAGGATTTGACAGTACCTGACTATCTGGTGCTGACCGGTTCTTTCAGGCTCATTCCACCCCGCAGAGCAGAGGAAAAAGCACTCAGCCTCATTACTGACAGAGCGAAGCAACCTTCAACGTACACCCCCAACTGGAGCAAGCCCGGGTGTTCTTTCCATTTCATGGAAGAGTCTTGCAAAACACTGGTTCTCATGTCTTCGTGCATGAGTCATAGATGCAAGAATGAAGAAACACCGCTCTGAATGACAAACAAGGAAAAAAGAAAAGGAAGAAGGCTATGATGATATGTTCTTGGAACATAACTCCAAGTCAGTCTACAAAAGCAAAATCAACACCTTGATCTCTGTTTACGGTAGGCTCTTAAGAGGACCCAGAAAGAGATCTTTACTTTTCTTTCCGATTAAAAAGATAACAGACAATAGACACACTGAAATCAAATAACAAAATGAGTCTCCTATTCAGATGAATGTTATTTTTTAACACGGCCCAACATTAAGGAAAAGCTTACATAAATCTTGATCTATATGATTTGATTAAATATTTTTGCCACAGATAAAGATGTAAATTACAAATAGTTCTTTGAGTTATGGGAAAAATGTATCATGTAATAAGTATGAAATACATATAAATTCATCAGAAAGTTGTGTCCTCAATGTTTTAATCTTTTTCCTTTTTCTTTTCAGTAGAAAATAAACTGAAAGGAACATGCTTATCAATTAATTAATTCTAACAATCAGTTCCCAAGAAGGAATGTGAACATTTTAAAGCACATCTATCCAAACCTGTTTCTTTAGCTGACCTAAGAAGTAAATAGACATATGGAAAGATAACACAGATGTTATTTTATGGCCCACTTTTTTGTCCATTTACATGCTGTGGTAGTGAGCAGAGATCTAGAAGCCACTGTTAGCAATTTTCAAACTGCTTTACCAGAATTCCATTATATGGTTGAAGCAGAATTTATCAACTAGTCTCATGAAAGGACATTCCAGCTGGATATTTTTATTGAGATATAATTGGCACATAACATCTGTAAGTTTAAAGTGTATGACTTGTGGATTTGCTACATTTATACTTCCTTTGAATTGTTGCTTATATATAAACAAAGCCGGGATAAACATTTCTGTGCATTCATCAATGTATACTTATCCTTGGGATACATTTCTAGGAGATGAATGAGCCAGAAAGTTCCTCCATTTTTAACATTAATGCATATTGCCAAATTGTCCTACAGAATTAAGGTGCTCATTCCTTATTTCTGCCCCAGCAATGCAATCAGTGTCTCCAGACCTCAGCACCAGTGGGTACCACCAATTTTTTTCAGTTTTGTTCCAAACTGAGAGGTAAAAAGTATTTCACTGTTGTTTCAACTGCAGATCTGAGATTGCAGTGTAGCGCTAAATTATCAAAATGCAAGTTTATTGCTAATAGTGATGATAGCTGATGTGCAATAAAAATCCATTATCCACCCAGCTGGTTGGTACCTTACAGAAATATTGCTTTCATCCTCATGATTATACCTGCAGGTTGGTACAGGTTTATTATTAACCCTATTTCACAGCTAAACACAAAGGCTTAGGTAAATCTCCTGAAGATCATAAAGCTAGTAAACAGTGGGCCCAGCACTGAGACCAGGACGGCCGGTCCCAGCCCTTCTGTCGAGCACAACAGTCAACTGTCATTGGTTTCCACAAGCAAGTGTGCTAGCTGTGTTTCTTCTCCAGATGTTTCTGAGTGCGTTTTAGGTGTACATGCCCCCGTCCCCTTTTCAATTGAGTGTTCATATTTTTATTTATTATTAACGATTAGCCCTTATTTATTAAGAACACTGTCCTTTTTTGTTTTTTTTGTTTTTGTTTTATTTTTTGGCTGCCATGGGAATACATTTAAACCCAAGTTACAATTCTGACTCCTGTTTTTCATTAGCAGGAGGACTTGAGTAACATCAGACTCCTTATGTAGTGTTCCTCATGCACAAATGCTCACAGCAGGCTAGCTACGCTGGTGTGCTCAGTTTACTGTGGCCCTGTCACGGACACTAGGGGCTCTGCTCATATAGCAGGTGGAAAGAGGAGACGAAAAAGACAGAGAAGAGGAGGGGCAGACTGAATCATAAAGCACCAACTTCCCTTTCAGTGTGTCACTTTCTGAGCTCCCCCTGCCCCCAAAGACATTTTCCGCCATCCCCCAGCAGTGAGGTTTTATCATGTGGTATTGTTGGTAGGGATTCTAAAACATTTTCCTTTCATTCCCAAACTTAAATTCTCCCCCGACCCTTTAAATTTTAATTATTCATTTTATTGAGGTCATGCTGATTTACAACACTGTATGCTTTAAGAGTATAAGTTCACATCTCTACAAATGCTTGCTATCAGCCACACCCAGTAATGGTGTTTGTATATTACCACAAAGCCCCAGAATCCTCCACCCTAGTCTACTGCGCTCCCTTCTCCTCTGCTTCCCATCGCCTACCTCCCCTTCTGGTAGTATCAGTCTGCAGTCAGATTTTTAGATTTGTTATGGTTTAGATTTGTGTCTGTTTTTTTTTTTTTTAATTTTTTTTAAAGATTTATTTATTTGTGCATACAGAACTCTGGGGTACAGGCCAGAGGCTTAGGGGCGGTGAGAGGCTTCACCAGAGACAGAGTGGGGAACAGAACAGGTAGATCCATGAAGCACACCCCTGAGGGGAGCAGCGGACGGGTCAGGAGAGGTCTGCCACGCCATGTGGTCACCTCCAGGGCAGGCGGGAATCGAACTCATGCGGAAGCGGCCCTAGATTCTCAGTGCTGTGCTCTAACCCGCTGTGCCACCAGGGAGGGGCCGTGTTTGTTTTCTTTATATTCCATATGTGAGTGAAACTATCCAGTGTTTGTCTTTCTTTTCTCATGTATTTCACTTAGCATCATTCTCTAGTGCCACTCAACTTTTCACAAATGGTAATAATTCATCTTTTGATAGCCGAATAGTATTCCATCGTGTGGAATACTTATACTCTTAAAACATATAATGTGTCCACTCCTCTGTCACTGTAGAGAACTTCAGACTTAAGAAAACAGACCTTTTATGGGTTAAGTCTGACTTTTTGAAAAACACCTCTTTCGCCAAGTACTTATATGTATGTATGTATGCACGCATGCATAGAACTGGGGTATAGGCCAGGAGTGTGGGGGAGGAGATGCGAGGATTCACCAAAGACAGACTGGGAAGCATAACAGCTAGATTTACTGAAATACACTGGTAAGGGGCACAGCAGGCGAGACAGGAGAGGTCTGCTGTGCCATATGCAAATCAGCTCCCTGGCTGGGGACTGAACTCAGGCCGCTGCAGTGACAGTACTGAAACTGGACCCCTATGCTACCAGGGAGGCCTGAAAAGCACTTCAGACACACTTACTATCCTTATAAAATCAACAATGAAATGCACTTTAGACATACATATCTCCCTTATAAACCAAGGGTATCTGTGTTGTCAAAGAGTAAGAGGATTGAACAGTTCCCCAGACCACATAACTTACACATTGATGAGAGTACAATCCAAGTCCAGAGACGTCTACCCACCGCACCTGTCCACAGCCCATCAGGGCCAAGCCCTCTGGAACTTACAAAGTATTTTCATTCCCATTAGCTCCCTGCTCTTCCCACAAACCTTCCAGGTAGCACAGCTTTTATGGTTGCCATGGGCTGATGTGAGGCGAAAGATATTACAGAACATGATCTCCCACTATGGGCATGGAACGGGAACCCCATGTGTCACCTACACTTGGTCCGGCAGCATCCAGGCCCTAGGGCCACCTGCCTGAGAAGTCCTGAGCCACTGAGAAGTCCTCTGTTAAAGGAGGGCACGGATGTCACAGCTCAGTCAATGTCAGTAACTGCAGACCTACTCGCTAGGGAAATCTGAGTTCCTCTCCAATTGTCACTTTGGCTTCAGCGAGTAGGTGGTGTGCCCACAGTCCTTCAGCCTATCCCTGGAGGTCATTTCCACAACTCAGTTCACTTGTAAAAGTGGATACATACAGCCAACCCCTGGGGGCCACATCATTTCAGAGGAAAATCCAAGTATCTCTTAAGGAGGAAGTTGAGAAATACAGCCAAAACAAATGTTGCTGAGTTGAAGGATTAGAATAAAACTGCAAGAATAGCTGGCACGATGAAGCGCACATACCACACATTAGTCAAGGGCACGCTCTAGCAAGGACATCACGTCCATTTTAAGTTGTTTTCCACAAGAAACCCTTCAGGTTTTGGTGCGCCCACACCGGACTAAGACTCTCCAAACTGAAGAACCTCTCTGCTAATCCAGTTCAATCCCTACATTGAAGAACATTCTGAAGCACTGGAACTTTCTTTCCTTTGCTCCTTCCCGTATACAGAAGCAATATATGTCTGCATGAACACACACCCCACACACACACGTACATACGTGCACACACCTAATGTCTCAGGCTCCCAGGACACGTCTGGTCAAGGCTTTAGGGACGTCAAGCAGGAATATAATGCAGGTAATGCAGCTGACCAGAAAGCCTAGCAAGAGAAACACTGCGTGTCAGGGAGGACCTGGTTTCCCATCAGTTTTACATTTATACCTAACATTCACTCCATTCCAGTCAACAAAGTATTGAGCTATAAGGCCATCAGATGATGGCTGCAGAATTATCTACAAATGACTCATTGTGGCCCCTGGTGCACAATGGGTCCTCACACATATCCTAGCTGGGGGGAAATCAGGCAGAAAACCTTGGTGTTCTGACCAAGGCAACTTGGGTCAAGATCCTCAGTCTGCTCTTGACTTCGGACAAGAGCCCTCACCTACCCTCACTCAACTATGAGCTTATTTCCTATGGGTGAGCAAATACAAGGAGTAAAGGAGATGATGTATGTCTACTACCTGAGTTGGTGTGAACCAACAGTAAATGCTAAATAAACAGGAAGACCCAGCCTGAGATTTGCATATGGTAGAGAAATACCTGTTCCTACTGTTCTTTCCAAAAATCCACCTCTGCACTTCTCTGCCTGAGGTTGAATCCCGTAACTGCACAGCATCCCAGCCTGGGATTGGGTGTGTCATGAAATCAAGGTGCAGTCCACTTCCCAAAAAGGGAAGCTTCGCCAATCTGTTTCCAAACTCAGCTCATCAG